GGATAACATTTAAAAGAACGTACAGTATATACAAACCTCTTTAATACTGCTTGAAGTAATTGATTATTTTGTCTTCTAATTTGCACCTCACTATGTGGACAAAAGACTAATACGGAGGCTCTGCCATGACAATTAAGTGAAGCATGAAAAATGTTTTGCTTCAGGCAGACCTCAATGGTGGAATACATAAACCGATTAGCCAACAAAAGCTAAATTAATTGCATTCAATTAAAGCAGCATAGTGATAATGCTTACTTAATAATATATTATTAAGTTGCAGCAAACAGTGAATAATTAAAACACTGAGCTTGTGCACTTCTATATGCCAGGACGCAATGGATTGAATGTGAATGATTTGGAGAACAGGACGTCGCTTACCATGATTTTATTTCCACAGCCTGAGGAATTCAAAGACTACATCTACTCATTAACTATTATTAGAAAACATAATGGCAGTGTGCACCTAACAGATTTCATATGGAATACATATGTTTCTGAGCAGCATGTATACATATACATTAACTCTCCGAGCACACGTACCACTCACACCACATGAAAACAGCCCAACCATAATTGATGATATTAGAGGGTTGAGAAGGGCTGGATGAGAGTGTGGGTGGCTTTCACATTGACAAGATAGAGAGCAGGCGTGGGTAGGAGTGAGTGTGTGTGTCCACTAAAGTCAAGGCAGGGGTTAATTACAGTGTTTAACCTGGTTTGTGTCAACAGTATCATGAACTTATTTTCAGTCAAATCTGTACTGCTGATTTCCCCCAGACCTAGACGCATTTAAGGGGAAAATGCTGATAAAAGACTAACCTGTAAATGCCATAACATTGCAGGGACAAGCACATATGCGACAGATGAGCTTAACACCTTTTATGCTCGTTTTGATCTCTTCAACAAAGAGTCCGCTGTCAGTCTGCCCCGCCTCCAGAGGACCAGTCACTGTCAGTATACAAAGCGGATGTGAGAGGACTCTTTCTAAAAGTGAAGACGAGCACTGACATCAAGTCGATTCTATACCTAAAAAGTCTTCTGGTTCTACAAAACAACAGCCACCCCGGATCTACACCATTCTGCATACAGTACAAAGCAAACAGATCATTAAAAGATACCTTCTACATTGCCCTAGCACCTCTGAAAAATAACAACACTTACATTAGAATGGGGTTTGTGCAGCAACACAATCTCCCTCATGAAACTGATTAGCAACTTTAGCCCCTTAGGCTTGAGTATCACACTCTGCGATTGAGTATTGGACATCCTTACAAATAGACCTCAGGCTTTTCAGAAGGGTGGTCACACCTCCTTCGCTCTACTGTTGAACACTGAAGTCCCCCAGGGCGGTGTGCCCAGCCCCCTCCTGTTCATGCTATATACCCACGACTGCTGCCCTCAACATGAAGAGAACTCAGTTTCCGGATTGCATCACCACGGTTTGGCGGCTTACATACAATGATGAGAAAATCAACAATTCTGCTTAGAGTGATGTGCTTTCTTGCCAAAATCACTCATTTCCATAAATGTCAAACCGTTCTTTTAAAGTTTGGAGATATTTGGGTGAGAACAGCTTCTTGAAACAAAAACTTTTTTTGCACAGGGGAGGGGAAAGTTCCCTCAACACTATGACAGTTTTCTCACTTGTCAAAAGAAAAGAAAGATTTCAGCAACGGTCCTCCATCAAATGTCTTGCTGAAGGGGACATTTTTTGTATTTTTATCTACCTAAGAAAAAGTAAGCAAACCGTTTTCAGCCCAAAACTTTAGTTTATAAGAAGAGCTGGGTTATAAAATTGGAAGGCTGCACCAAGGGTGGGGTGGATGAAATTAGAAAGCTGCGTTATGCCGCCCTTGTGATCACAGTCTGTGACTTAGTTATATAGCGAGGGAGCGGCTTGTAGATAATGAGCATGTACTGAAAGAAGCGACGAAAGTGCTCTGGTTGGTAGCGAAGGCTGGAAGAGTGTATTCACTCTGATGTAGGTTAGGTTTGCTTTTTCAGCTCTTCTTTACACTTTTGCCATTCCTCTGATATCCGTCTCACAGACTCTTCCTCAGTCTTCCAAAAGTCGGCCAGTTATTCTGCTCTCCTATTACCTTAATTCTCTCTTTGCACTCTTAAGGTACATCTCTTATGTCATGGTCTGCCTTTGATCCTACATCTGTTGCTTTCTCAGTAACTGTGTCGCTTCTTCCTTCATTTGTAAGTGCACACTGTCAGTACTTCTGGTGTGCTTCTAATCTTTTTCTCAGGGATTGGGAAACCCACTTCTTTGACAGCATCTTTCTTCTTCTCTCTAAGCTTTCCCACTTCAAATAATTCAAAAACATGCTCTGCATCCTGCTCAGCTCCCACATAGACTGAACTGGAGTCTGCAGAGAGGGGGAAATGTTTCAAAGGACGGTGAGTGAAGCTGCGGCGGCGGCGGCAGACAGACAGACAGTGCCCTGGCATTATATTGGAAGGAACATTTGGGAGCCGCTTGGAAACGCTGCTGCTCTCAAACAGCCACACACACACACACACACTCACACACACACACACACTGAGTGGTGGTTTAGAGACAGTGTGGGAGTGCGTACGCCTCCGTGTCCCAAAATAATCACCAGATGAGGGGCAGGGAGGCAGGGCGAGGCTGGTACAGGAAGATATAAATGGATGCTAATTGTAAGGTTCCTTAAGATTACACTGCAAACTTAAACACACTCTGTCTGTGTACGTGTGTGAAAATCATCCAGCATGTACAGGACAAGTCTTTCTCACTCACACACTCGAATGGATAGTAGTGTTATGACTCTCAAATTGTATAAATGTAGTACAACATGGCTTTACACTAGCACACACAGATTAAGATTGTAATAACTGTATGGTCTCTGATACAGCACCGGAATCTAACCAACCAAAAGAAAACTGAGCTTCCATGTATTATTTCTATAATCCCTCTAAAAATAGTTCAAAAGAGGCAAGTGTTAACTGTAGTTTTCCAGAGCTGCACCATCCTCACACCAAAAGCTGACTCTGCCTGTTTGTCTAAGCTTAGAAACTCACATTAGTTCTGTTTGGATACACTGAATTAGAAGAAGCTGCATCGCATCGCCTCAAATCCCATCACAGTTTCGACAAAAATAGTTTGCTCCTCCTACTCAAGTGTCACTTACTGACTTAGCAAAATACACTAATTTTCTTTCTAATCCCACAAGAGGCTCTTAATGCAAGAGAGGCGAGAGAGAAGGATGATGTCGAAGAGGAATGGAGGCAGCTCTAGATATAAATGGTAGATAATTACATGGTCGACTCTCTCGCATTGATGTGAGGAAAGTGCAAGAGAGCAAAGTAGAGAGGCAATCAGTGGTGGATGCACAGACGCCCCCCCCCCCCCCCATATACAGTACTGTAATGATTTCGTAGAAACAATAAAAGACATGTTTTCAAATAAGAAAGACTCAGTTAAAAGCATCACTTCTGCAATGCCAGCTTTTCAGGGAATAAGAACCACTCTATGTTCCCGTTGACGGAGACTTCATATTGCAATTTTAATGGAAAACCCCAATACTGACATCAAGAAAAATACACATGTTGCAAAACACGTTATTACAAAATCAGAAAACTAGACATGGGATTATTCTCTATTTTCACAGGAAACCACACAACCTGTGACACATGATGTAGCAGTGAGACAAAAGAGGAACACAGCTCAGCAACACCAGTAAAAATGTTTTTATGGGCCTGAATCGCCATCTGCTGCCCATACCAGGCATGACAACAAACTCTATCCTCTCCTCGTCTTACATTTCTCAGTAAGAGAGAATAGGAAAAAAAGAGTGTAAATGTCAAACACGTCATACACAAATAAAAATCACTTTAAAGAATGATTATTTCCTAATGTTCAGTAAGACACAATCTGCGTGTTTACACGTGCATGCCCGCCCAACCCTCTGCTTATCAGCTTCAACATCTGACAAAAGCAAACCTCGTATAACTGTTGTGTAACATGGGACTGCCCTCCATGTCTATGTCATATTAATTAACCTTTACCCTGCAGTCTCTGAATTCCTTTAGGAGAGAAAGCAATGAGCGTTCTTTAGGAAGAATGAAACTCGTTTTATAGCAGGCAACCCAACATGGACCAAGCCTATTCAGGTATTTCCATATTTCTGGTCTGTCAGTCAGTCAGTATGTATGTTAAGTGTTTATCTGTTATTTTATAGATGTTCTCTTTTCTAGACAGGATAGAGAGAATGGATATAATGGAGAATGATACTCAACTTTACCGCAGAGACAATAAGTATTTATTCTGCTGAGGACGACCATGTAATATAATAAAGCCTTGAAACAATTAATTTGTGCAGAAATACAATTTAGAAAGGCCTGTTGTTTACTTCAGTATTGATTGTATGCTTTCTTTTACTTTACTACAAAACTTCATTGTCATTTGAGAACTAAATAGAGTAGTAACCTTGGCTTTTAAGATTTTTATTCAAAACAGATCATCTGTAAATTAAATATGATCCAATTTTATGCATTAAACCCGTGTTACCACATTACATAACTGCAACATAACCACCCAACAGTAGGCTGTATAGGCCTAAGTAAGTATAATCTCCACCTAGACCAGCAACACAATTAAAACGCTGCTACTTACACAACAACCAGCTACAACATTAAAAGGCTGCTTGCACATTATCACATTAGTAATAATATTCCAATAATCCAGTTAATAACAAAATGCCTCTTAAAAGGGACTATTCTCTTGCATATAAAACCTAAGTAAGGACTTTAACTTGTAATGGAGTTGTATACAACTGTAGTATTACTTTTAGTAGTATAAGATCTGAATCCACCAATGATTAAAATAGAAAAAGATGGATACAAGTACAAATGCCAATACTTCTGTGCATTTTAAATCATGCTGTGCCTCTAATCTGAGCATTACGGTACCCGGTGAGACAAACAAAGCACCGGTCCAGTTCCTAGCTCGCAACAGTGACGTCATCGCGCAGCGGCGGTACAATGACGCTCGGCGATTGGGTGAGCGAGGAGCTAAAGTGTATTGTACATTAAAAAGACAAGACGCTGATAACAAAAACAACAGCTGCGGCCGCATGAGGCCAGCTAAGGACACACTCGCACTTTTCGGGCACCCGCTAAAATGATTTCGGGTAAGGAAACCTATTAATACTCCTTTTTAACGAACTAATTTAGCTCCCGAGCAGCTTCCGCCCTGCAGTAAGTTTCTTTTGTCCTCTTCAGTCAACAACAACAAAACAAGCGAGTCAGCGTGTTGACCGGAGAGGAAGGTGTGCTGGCTTCTTTTAAAAACCGTGTAACAACGGGTGGTTTATGATATCAAATATTGGTCCGTGTTTCCAAAACAGGTCGGTTATCTCACTGTGAATACCTTTGGACTGTATTATGCCAGGGAAGCGTAACATATATGCTGCTGGGTGTGTTAGGCAGCATCAGCCATACAATGGATGATGCCATTTTAAAACTCTCGAATAATTAGCTTAGTAAAACAAAAGCACACTTGCTATATGGACACATTTTTGCAGCCTTGCTCTTCTTTATAATAGATATTTACTGTATAGGAGCACATTTAGCTTTACATTAGAATGGACATTTCTATTTATTGTTATCTCATACAGGTCAAGTGCAGGGCAACACTGATATCATCCAGCTGTGGTTTAATAACAATGAAATGTACCCACAATAATATGTGCACAGCATGTACATCTACTTATGACTATTTCATTGTCTGCCATAAGTAGTAATTCATTCATGTTTCCCTCTTTCCAATGTTTGGGAATCTTACTTCTCTAGATGTGACGATGGCTGCACACTTTAATATTTCTGACAGTGACTCAGACTCATCAGAGGAGGAAGGAGAACATATCCAACCGTCCCCTGTGCAGGGGCCGCAGCTCCCTCAACGACACTCCCTCACCCTTCCTGAGCTCAGATTGACAGGTAGGAAAACTCAAGGAATTGTGTGAGAAATGGGAATGAAATAAACAGTGCTTTAAAAACTGGAAAAACAACAAGCAATGTTTGAGCATCCTTTACCACAAACTGATCCAGGTGGGACCCAAAAGTGTATTTCTGCTCCATTACTAACTCCTCTCACCTTTGTTTCTTTAAAGGGACCGGGCGAACCAGGCTCAACTCAGAGTCCCACGCCTACACTGTCTCCAGAGACGAGGAGCTCCAGGCTCGGGGGGAAGACGAAGCCGGCACGCCCACGGAGGGTGCTCCATTCAGGGGACGGTCCAAGTCAGCTCCCCCTGCTCTGTGGGCAGCCAAGAAATACGGCCGGCAGCTCCGGAGGATGAGCGACGAGTTCGACAGCATGCTGGACAAAGGGGTGAGAACGAGGGGTCAGAGGGTGGAAGTCCATCTTCAGTTGTATTTGAAAATGTGGGGAATAATGACAAAAAAAAAGTAGTTTTAACATTCCAAAGGATTGACTAAATCTATGTTATTCATTTTGTTAACAAATGTTCCAACAGTTTTCAAACCCAGAGAAAATGTGATGTGTAATTAAGGTGTGTTTTATTTGGCTGCCAGTGATGGTTTATTGTCCTTTTAGAACATGCGTCATACATTTACTTATATCCAATTTGAAGCCACATTTTTATGATCTACTTTTTAGATCCTAGATGTTTTTAACTGTATATCATATCGTTTAAAAAACACTGCCTTTAACATGATTCTGCTTTTTTTTATTGTTATTAATTGCAAAAACGGCCATGATCCCACTCTACTTAAGGGCATCAATTGATATTTTTTGATTGAGATTCCCCCCCCCTAGATAATATCACATAATGTCACATGTCTTAAACATTGTCTCTATTTTGCGCAGGAAATGAAAAAGGTGAGAAGTCCCGGGCCAGCCAAACAGATGCCACACTCGAAAACCTGGTGGAGCTACCTCTTCAGTCACCAGGAGATGGAGGGAGAGAACAACCACCATGAGAACCACACTCACCGCAACGAATAAGCACCGGGAGAGGAAATTAAGAGGGACTTGAGGTTCAAGGAATGAGAAGAAAGCAATGGGGAAGCCAGGAGAACAATCGTGATGAGAACAAAAAGACCTGCTCTGATGGCAGAAAGGTTGGTTTGAACAAAAAGATCCAAAAACACAAAGGCGTGGCCAAGTGTCCCATCCTAGTCATGTCATTTTTATACGTCATTGGTAACTACATTTAGGTAAAAAAAATTGCATTTGTGTTGGTTTTGATGTTAACTATATAGCTGGGCAGCGCACTGTGAAATGGTAAGAGTCAGTCAGGCATGAGGATGGACTGGTGGCTATCTAAACCCCATAGAATGGATAAAAAGACGGGCCAAGAGAGGAGAGGAGAGAAGAGCTCTTGAAAACATAAAGAAAGACCAGCATTAAGTGGATTTGAGCGTCGACTACTCAGTTTAAAAGGTGCTAACCACTTCAGTTGTCTCTCCCATCAACACTATGCAATATACTGTGGATGGAGAGGTATAAATGCACTGGAATCAAAACACCCAAGGCCACCTTGAATGCTGTTAGAATTTCCTTCCTCATCTTCTTGAGGAAATGTGTTACTTATGCTTGTTTTGCTTCGAATGTTAGTTCGTGGAGACCACTGTAATTGTGTGCCAAAATGACCTGCAGGTAACAGAGGATGGAGGATAGAATGGGAAGGATTTTTTAGAGTATTCAGCTCAGGCCTTTATCTAACTTCCTTTACTACTACCTGCAAGCTAGTACAATTTAAACAACTGTACGTACTTGACTATCATTAACTGCTTTATATCTCAAATTTATCAAAAGAAGAACAATCTTGTACAAGGACAATCTCTAACAGAAAATACTATCTTTTGTAAGACTTCAGGTTTAGATTATATCTGAAGAAAATGACATTACTATAACATAAAAAAAAGCACAAACTAATGTGAATTTATCTTTTCAAAGCCTTTGATGAGCAAAAAAAATAAGACCTTGTAACTTTAATGTGTAAATATTTTGTTAATATTTTATCAAATTGCAGGGGTGCTGGAGGGGTTGCTTTAGCCAGATTTGTATTTATCGAGTTACTATTTTACAAGGTTACCATGCTATTTAATAAGGTTGGCCAACCTAGCAATAGGCAGTGTACAATCCATGGCTGTTGTGATATGTAATTGCAAATTTAAATATTTGGGCGGGGATATATTAACTGCTATACAAGAAGCCTACACACAAGCCTCATTTGAATCAGCACCGAGTGCATAAAGGAGGTGGATTTAGAGTAAAATCACATTTCAAACACTGGTGGAAGGGATTTAAACTTGTCTTTATAAAACTATCTGTTCAGGAAAATCAGTTTCCAGCGCTTTTTAAGGTTATAAAACAATGAGTTACATGCAGGTTGGTCACTCTTTATCTGCATTAGGATCTGAATAAAATGGATCTTAATGTATGAAGCCTTAAGTCTAAGTGCTGATCTAGATTTGCTTTTTAGGCGTTATATTCTGGCTTATATATTAACTAAGATCGGGACTTCTACATGGATTGGCTATTTGTGAATTGTTTATCAATGTGATTATTGAAAATGGTAATAGGTTTGTTCTTCTTGGGTCTAACTCTCTTCCTCTTGACTGGTAGGGTTGAGTTGTGAAGTGTTGCAGGCTTAGGGGGCTGCATTTGTATCGTCTTTCAAACTAAAAAACCTTTATAGCTTTTCCTAAACTTGGTTAAAACGGGAAACCTTTTTTTAATCAGAGATTTTTAGACAATCTGAAACAGGGGCCATTGTTTTTTGAGATTCAATCAAGTTTACTATATGTTTTGGTAAAGCTCCCAACTCAATGAATACAGTTAGACTAGGCTGTTACATTTTAGCTCCATTAGAGTGACTCCATTATTTGATATCCCATTTCTTAAACAGATCAATAGGGAAATAAGGAAAGGGTGTTTAAATAAAGTGTTTCCACTCCTAGTAGACCTGTACTTTGACACGAGAACAACAGTACATCGGCTGATAAAGAGTTTGTACACGGTGTTCAGAGCTTAGGGTCAGATATGAATTTAAAAGAAAATCATATTGTCAACATGAATGCCTTGAACATGCTGTAACTGTGGTGTACCTGTGCATTATCAGCCATGTCTGTTTACCCGATTACCGCCTTAACTTTTACCGTCACTGTCACCTTTTACGCTCAAGAAAAAGTCACAACTGTGAGAAAAATATAAAATGTCGATTGATGGAATTCACATTGTGGTTTTGACTGTTAAACATTAGTAGCAGTGAACACACCCCAGAGGAGAGACCTGCCTGGGAACCTGGAGTTTTGCAACCATCCTTGGTATTACTTGAATCTGGAGATGTATGTGGGGAGAAAATAGAATTTCAATATTCCCTCTTTTTTTGAAAATTCCTTTTCCTTTTTTTTTTAAAATAACTTTTGTAAATTTTCTCTACAGCTGTGAAACTTCTTGTATATGCGGTCTTGAATAAAGAATTTTAGAGTCGTTTAAAAGTGAGTCGCTGTGTAATTCTTTAAAGTTCTCTAGTACAAAGGACACTGAAATCATATTTCTTTCAATGCAAATATGTTCATTAACAATTCAAATGCAAAGCTAGAACACACAAAAACGGAATAATACTTTAAAGTCTAAACTAGTCAGTTTACTAGTTATAAAAGGTGGCACATATGTCAATATTTTGTTGTTGTTGAAAGGCTCAGTGTTTCATGGATTATTGGTCATGATAAACAGTATACATTATTGGAAACATGTGTCCCAAATGTTACTAGAGCTCTTAGATATTTCAGTAAGTACATTTACTAAATCCTTAATACATCAGCCCAGCACATTTGATACATTTCTAATTTCCCATTTTTTCTGGTTGTGGTATCCTGTAATTGCCAGTAAAAACGAAAGAAGAGCATTTAGGACGCTTAATATGAGCCCATGTGTGGTTTATCAAACCACCTGTGATGCGTCCCGGCAGAACTTGTGCCCACAGTCCAAAGCTGAAAGTCTGTCCATGTCTGTGTCACTCAGTGTGAAGTCAAAAAGCCTGGCATTATCCTTTATTCTGTCTGGATTTGAGGACTTTGGCAGCACTGGGACACCCTGCTGCACAGCCCAGCGCAACAGGACCTGCAGGGGAACAACAGACCTAAAGGTTTCCAAATAATGTCTAGAGGGGAGGCTGCCACAAAAATGTTAATTGAGAGGTATTTCATTTGTTTGTATGCCTGTGCGTTACCTGTGCAGGCGTGCGTTCACAGTTCTTTGCCACCTCCAGCACCACAGGGTTAGTGACCAGATCTCCTTTTCCCAAGGAGGAGTATGCTTGAAAACACACTCCATATTCCTCACACACTTTCCTCAGCTCTGTCTGGCAGAACTTTGGGTGAAACTCAACCTGAAGAAACAATTAAAAACACAGTGTGCATCAGCTCTTAAAAAACTATTATACATTTGATCCATCCTCCTCTTCTATCAGTGTCCTACCTGCAGCACAGCAGGAGGGATCTTGCAGCTCTGCATCAGTTCCCTCATGTGTGCTGGTGTGTAGTTGGACACTCCGATGGCCTTCAGCTTCCCCTGGGCATGCAGCTTCTCCAGAGCGGCCCAACTCTCAGCTCTGTTACCTGCAATTAAATATTAATCAGGGGCTCGATCAAAGATAAGATTCAAGATGTCAGTTTATCTCCCTCTTCCATAATGTAGCTGTACTTGGATAACACTGACCATTAGTGAAGCAATTGTTAATAAAACATTTGATTCATGGGTAACTAGGATTTTGAACAGAGAATATGTTTACACTGATGTTACAACTTCTACTTAAGTTAAAGATCTGAGTACTTCTTTCACCACTGAACACATGCATACGCAGTTATGATTTCAATTACATTTTTGTACCCGAGGGAAAACTTTGACTTTATCCGGATTCTTTACCTGGGTTGCGTTGGTCAGTCACTACACAACCCTGTGTGCCAGGCCAGTGGATCAGGTAGAGGTCAATGTAGCCCAGGTCCAGCTGAGCCAGGCTGCGGAGGGCTCCTTCCATGGCTCCCTCCCCCTGATCCTTGGGGCCCAGCTTACTGCAGGGAGAAAGATCACATGATCAGGGTTATATACAGCAAACGATTTAGTTTCGAATCAGTAATCAAATATTCCAGCTGCATTCTATGTATGTTTTAAATGAGTTATAGGCCAACCCATGTATATCACCTTGTTATGAACACATCCTCTCTGGTTAAGCCATGTTTGGGAAGGAGCTCCTTCAGCACTCGGCCCAGGTCAGCTTCATTTCGGTAGACGGCTGCACTGTCAAAAGACCGATAACCTGCCGCCAGCGCTGCATCCACAGCCTGATAGACATCTTCAGGACCCACCAACTTGTAGGTCCCCAGACCCAGGAGGGGCATCTGAACCCCAGTATTTAGGAGCACGGCAGGTGAAGAAGAGGAAGACATCTGATTGTTCTTTTTGGCACCCTGTTAGGACAGTTGGTCTACCACAAAGGGAGAGAGAGTTAGCTGAGACATACATATTAAATATTAATTTACTTCAAGGAAAAATCAGTAACTGTAAATACAATTTTACAATGTTCCATGCCCTACAGCTTTCTTTACAGAAAGGCATTCCCACCATAAACATGAAGTCAAGTCAAAAGTTCATAAAGGCAAACGTGAAATTACTTCTAATGTTTACAACTACTCTTTCCTGCTATGCGTGGTAACATGACAGACATGTGATCTTTGAGGTGGTTTTCTCCGTCACTCGTTTGACTCGTTTGGCTCGTTTGAGATGAGCGAGAACGATGCAGACCGCCGTCTTGCTTTGCATGAAGGTTAGTAATTTTGTACGACTTGCTCACTTGCTCTCTGGAGGCTCGTCGACTGCATGAGACGTTGAAATCTCGCGGGACAAAGACACCGGCAGCCTTGACTCCGAGCTGTCCGATTTCAGGCGAGCTTTTTGAGACCTCCCCCAGCTGCAATCGGCTATTCTATCTCGTCTACTTTCGAGGCGAGTCGCAGCTCATCTCAAACAAACCTAGTGACTCCTGCTCTGCCGCTGGTGATTGGAAGAAAATGTAGCTTATCAAAGTAGGCCTCGCGATCCAAAGGCGGGAACTCACTTCTTCCAGCGAATCATGGGGCGAGGAGCGTTTGATGGACAGTCATGATTTTAACCGTTGGCGTGCTGGTAGAGGGGAGGTACATTGCTGCTCGACGACATACCAACTTCATGCCCACCGTTTCTCTAGACATTACGGTAATTTCAACAGAGCGCGAATGAGAAAAAAATATTTTTGACAATTATTTCATATACTAAGTAAGGAAATGTAATCACTATAAATATGTGATTATAAATGTGTGCAAGCTAGTTAGCTAAATCAATTTAACATTCCCGCTTATATTGAACTGTATGTTGGTTGCCCTCTGAACCAAAAGTCCATCAATAAATTGTTGTTGTTTTTGTGATTTTGTTTTCCAAACCATGTCAGGTCAGTCATGCCACTGCAGGCCTTCTCCTCCACTTTTGCTGAAACTCGATTCTTCAGAGCTGGTAGTTTTATCTACAAGATCAAGATAAGAGGAGGCTGCAGCTTCAGGCAAGAAACACAATGTCCTTTACATCTTCACAGCCCTGCCTTATTTCTTGATATATTTTCTTCCCTTCTCCTGCTCTCTTTGTTGAAAAGAGCGAGACAAGTCAGCAGATACATACCAAGACAGCCCAGTACAGTCTTGCTGTTTTACTCAGGGCTTAGCCTAAAGGGGAGCAAAGAGAAAAAGGGACTATTGTGACATAATAAAGAAGGAACCAGTCCAAAACCAGGCCAGCTGGGATTACTATGCTAGTAATAACATTGTCTAAAGTAGCTGTTAGTTACTGGTCGCACATTTTGGTGATTATTATTCAAATAGTGATAAGCGTACCTAAAAAAAAAAGAGAGAAGGCTCTTAGAGCAACTAAAGACAGGAATTATTGTCCTTCTTTCTTGAAATCAGAGAAAAACAACACAGGCCACTAAGAAAAACAACAGTAAGACTATTAATGGTATCCACTCTTATGTCCTTCCCTACCTCCTTTCCTTTTTTCCCTCGAGATTCAATCTCGCAAAGCATTGCAAAATGTTCCTAAATCTTAAAAGCAGTTGGGGAGATGGCTGAGCTTCAGGCAACAGAGGAAACATTGATCTTTTCTCTCCTTTTTAACTTGTTTTCTTCTAACACTACTGCCTGTAATGGCTGCTGTTACACATTCTGATGTGTGTCTTATTTTGTTTCATCTGTGAAAAGAGGAGAAAAAGTGGATCAAAGGCCCCACGGGATCTGTCTGCTTTGATTCAGGGATAAAGCCTCTAACTAAAAGTCCTAACTGATCCTGAAATGCCTTAAGGCTGCAGAAGCTTTTCAGAAAAAAAGTGTAAAAAGCACATTGTGATGTGTTTATTTTTCATCAGGGGAGAAGAGGTCATGGGAGGAAACTGCTTCAATCAGGAACTGGAGGTAATTTTGGTTACTGCATGCACAGCACTCACATGTGTTTTGTTCACACTATTCTTAAATTAAATGTCTACATTCACACTTAACTGACCCCTTCTTGTTCACAGTTTTCTTTTTCCTTTGTAACTCCGTCTCGTACTTTCTCTTTTTCTGTTTTTAGGAAATTATCAGAACGGTTCTTGGCAACCTGGACAGTCTCCAACCCTTCTTTAGTGCCCACTTCAATATCTTCCCCTGTATCCTTTGACATATTTTATTCATGAACAGTATTTCTTTTTTCAGTCAGCTTTCTTCCTATCCCATTGCTGTGTATCTCTCTACCACACTTCCAGCCTGTGTCACCTTTAAACATGGGCACGAGCTCACCAATTTTCACCAAAATTACTTCTACTTCTACTTGTTGCTGTAACAAAATAAATCCAGGGCGTGACACAACTAAAGTTCAGTCTTGAGATCACCATAATTCATTGTGATGCTTTAGCAAATTGCACGGTAGCATCTTTGTTCATTATACTTTACTAAACACAGATCAAGGAATAAATCTCCTGAAGCATATTCACTGGATATTACCTGTATTTTGTTAACTGTGAGTACCAGATAAAAAGCGGTGGGAAGGGGCGCGTCAGGTGGTGCCCAAATACGGTGACAGGAAGCTGGCAGCCTACCCCTACTGCCTGACCCTCTACCTGGAGAAAAACATGCAGCATGGTGAGGGCTGGGAATTCATAAAGGGGGAACGAATAAATGTTATTAGCACAAAGACATGGGCATCTGTTTTTAACTGATTGTCCTGCTGATGTAGCTGTGTGATAAAGAACAGACATTGTAGGTCTTAGTACAGAACAGTACACAAAGAGACACAACATACAGTACTATCAGGCGCATTGATGGCTCACATGTAATGTATCTTGCAGAGGAAGCAAAGCAAGCAGAGGAGAAGCTGAGCTCAGTGAGTAACACAAAACATAGATGAAATGTAGGGTTCATCAAACCGTCTTTGTATCTAGTAAAAGGTGTAACTGCTGCATGTTTTCTAGGAGAAAGACGCTGCTGTTTCTGAGCCCCGGTCAAAGCGCTGTAGAAGATGTTCACCACTAGAGGAGGCCATACTAAAGGACTTAAACCAGGATTTTGAGACTAAAAGCAAGGCTTCTGCGGTCGGGTGAGTGTATTTTGCAGTAACCTGAAGCTACATTTAACCTCACATTTAACCTCACAGGGAACCACGACTAAGTGTTTAGAAGAGCAAACAAATGTATGCATTGACTAAAAACCTACCCTGTGGTTGCAAAGAGGCTCACATATGGGCTCCTTAGTGAACTTTATGACTTTAAGATTTGTTTCTGAATATGTACTAACAGTAGTCGTACGCACCCGAATATGCACTTATATTTCACAATGTGGCGATAGAAAGAAGTGTTTTTATTCATAAAATCACTGGGACATCTATTCTGCCCTACTTCACACACACACACTAACACAGAAACACACACATACACTAACACAGAAACACACACACAACACACACAGAAACACACACATACACTAACACAGAAACACACACACACACAGAAACACACACATACACTAACACAGAAACACACACACACACACAGAAACACACACACACACACACACAGAAACACACACATACACTAACACAGAAACACACACACACAAACACAGAAACACACACTCACACGCTCCAGTGATTCTTGCAGTTCTGACACAGACAAGAGGCGAACGGGCGCCACCTCAATCACACTGACAGTCAGATCAGTGGGGCGCAAATGATGATTTTAGAAGCACACACACACAATAACTAGTTTGTGTTAAACTTATATAAACAGAATTGTCTCTTCTTGAAGGACACACACTCAGATGCACAAACTGTGTAAACATCCTGCAAGCAGCAGAGCCTCAAGCATCATTACCAGCTCACAGGAAATCAAACTCTCATTGCATTATATTCACCACGCTGACCATTACACTTACATGTCCTTACAAAGGTGCTACACAAATACAACACACACTTGTATTCTCACAGGCTGTGAGTGATGCCCTGGAGAGACAGATGGTTTGTTTTCCTGTTAAACCTGCTGGAAAAATGGGAACAGAGAAGAATGAGTTTGACTCAGTGTGCTGTCAGACTTGTCAACAAGGGGCATCAAACAGAGAAGTGTTGGTGTTGGCTGCGTAATCCGCCATTTAATCCAACATTATCTAACTGAAGGTCTTTGGAGGTCATGCGCTACGAGGCACGAGACCCACCAATTTACTATTTGAAGATGAGCTTTTTTAAACCTTGCAAAGTGGAGCCCCGTTGTTCATTGACAAAAAAAACTGATTATTTTCAGATGTATTTTTTGTAAATGTATTTATTGTTTTTTCTTTGTTTTCTCAGGAATTTACGGGATAATGTTTAAGTTTTTTGTGACTTTTTAAATGTATCGTTATCACTTACATCTGAGAGAATATCCTCATTATATTTTTCCATGAAGGTATGACTTTAATACTATCAAGTTTCTTCTCAGAATATAAACCCCCCTCCCACAAATCTGTTACAAACCTGCTTTAACCTACAATAGCTTTAGTAGGCTTTTGTTTTAAAAGATAAGCATGGGCATTATTATTTTTCAAAGATCCTATTCCTATAAAGTATCTGTATTCTTCTATAACATAAATTGTGTAAATCATATTTAAATGATGTTTTATATTAAATGCCACCTGAATTTGACTGTACAGTATCTAGTTTGTTCTTTATTTAAAAGTAGAAAGCTTAGTTCCTCATGTATTTTAACTTATTGTTTTTTTATGTCCACCTCTCAGCAGGCTCTCTCTGGATCGTCCACATACAGTCAGAGATGCAAAAGAAGATGCAGGATGCTTTGATGAGGTGATTTTTTAATTACGTCTACAAAAAAGTCCACATCAAATCTAACCGCTTCACTGATTTGACATTTTCCTAAATTTGACATTTTCCTAAATGTCAAATGAAGTAATTTCATCCCACAGTTGTTCTAAATAAATTGAATTACACATTTCCTTCTAATTTTAGCCTTTCATTTCCTCTCTATCACATCTATAAACACACTCTTGGAGCACCTCTGTCTGCATTGTAGCCCCAAGCTAACATTTGTGCAGACAGGTAGCAAAACAAGTGTGATCAAGGTGAATAAAAGCATTACATCAGGCACAGAGTGTGTGTTTCTGGGTAATTGTGCTCCCTCCTCATCTCATCTGATCCTGGTTTCTTTTACTCCTGTCCACTCTTATTCCCCTCACATTTGTTTCAAGTGGAAAAAAGGATTTCAACTAATCGTGTGGAGCTTTAAAAAGGATTACGCTTGAACAATGAAGGCGGTCATTAAGTTCATGGCACAAACCAACTCATGAGAAGTGTCAAAAGACCAAGAGACAATATTCAGGTTATCAAAAGTACATTCTTAAGCTCATAAAGAAGTCCAATTGACCGTTAACTGAGCCCTACCCCTCAGATGTACTGTTTGTATGCTAAAGCCTGATTTTAAACTCTGTCTCTAGCTGAGTTTTTAATATATTTGGCCAGAAACTGCATTCTTGAAATTCTGAAATGGCAGATAAACATTATTTTGTAAAAGACAAGAATCCAAACTCTATTTATGGATTATTGCTCGAATCACAGACGCAGGTACACTGCTTAAACGTATTAATAACTCTAGATCTGCATTAGATACATTTGCAAAGCTAATCTGGGACAAGTCTTTTTTGGTGGGAGGTGTGAGCAAAAGGTGAAATAAAATACATTTGACTACTATAACTGTAAAATAGATTTGATATTCTGTCCTTTTATTCTCTCCCTCAGCAGAAACCAGGTGTCACAGTGAAAGGAAGTGGGACTCCAGGTGAAGTGCATTCTGGGACGATAGAGCCCATGGAAGAGGATGAGGAAGAAGATGAAGAAGAAGATGAAGAGTCTGACCCTGTGACCCCTGAGAGGCCAGGCATTCTGAGTCGACTAGCCAGGTCTGTATGAAGCCCCTGAGCAGCCATACTAACAAACAGGGATTTGTTAGCACGCTAAAAGCTAACGCTGAGAACAACATCATATCAGTGAATTGGCAAACAGTAAGCATAAGACTCATACCTTCTTCAGAGATGAGGGTGATGTCACTGTTTGTAGATTTGATTGATTTCAACACTCACATGAGAAACAAGAGCTAATTGTTGCTGCACATCTGAAAGAAGAAGGTTGACAAAGATTCAAATGGATCGGGGAAATCCAGCTATTATAAGCACAGAGATGACAATATTCCTGGCTGTGTTGAGACAGGCGGAGATGACCTGAGGCGCTCAGAGAAGCAGCTCCGCTCTGACACAGCATGCCAAACAAATGGAGTCTTTTCCTGGTAATAATGATATGCAGTAGCCATTAATCACAGTGCGTTAACGTTATCTGTCTCCCTCTCTGCAGCCATGTCTTCCCCTTCTCCCTGCTCTTTGGAGACCCCTGAGGGCCACGGCACGGAGACAGGAGCTGTTACTGGGGAGTGAAGCGGAAACTCGCCGGGGTTTGTTTAGTTCAAGTTCTGCACAGAGAACTCAGGATTTGTTTTTTCAGGAACATTTTAATAGGCCTGTTTGTCTCCCTGTATCCTCTTTTAAGAATCTGTTATATAAGGGTCATTATTAATCATTCCTATTGTTCAGACTTATGTAAGATTTTCTAATTTATTTATACATCTTAAGTATATTTTAATAAAACTATTAAGTGCAGAGTTCTTTATGTGAGTTTTCTGTTGCAGCTCTTATAAGAAAATAAAGATGTTGCTTCCTTGTTTCCATTGGTAGTTCTTTCAATCAGTGTGAGTTCATATGGAAATGTTTTCTTATCGATTAACTTTCATGAACTCCGACCCTCTCCAAATCTAACAAAAGAGCAGCATGTCTTTTATTTCTTGGTTTCCCATCTTAAATTCTGTTAGATTTAAATTGCCTTCATGATCTGCGGCCCCATTTGAATCTGATCACTTTTTTCTTTGCCTACACACTGCTTTATGATGTTTTATGTTAAGCAAGTGTTTGTTATGAATAATGTACCAGTTGAATTCATCTAACTCATCTTTCATAGGAGTGCGCTGGGTGTTTAATTCAGGTTAGCACATTCCAACGGACAATGCCCGCTTATTTCCACTCTGGTGTGTGTGTGTGTGTGTGTGTGTGTGTGTGTGTGTGTGTGTGTGTGTGTGTGTGTGTGTGTGTGTGTGTGTGTGTGTGTGTGTGTGTGTGTGTGTGCGTCTCAGCTACAAGAGACTCCAGTTTAACAAAGTCCATTCACATCTAATTCTCTCCTGATGAGGTGCTGTGGGCCACTCAGTTTTATAGACTCTCTCTCTCGTTCTCTCTCTCTCTGGTTGGCATGGAATCAGAAGAAACACACTGCAGCTCACAGTCAACACACTAATAGTTTAGTGTGTGTACATACGTGTGTGTAGGTGGGGGGTTTAGGTGATGATGTCACACATTCCGTTTTCCATTGACATAACGGTGTTTGGGAATGATTTGGGATGGAGGGGCCATAAGATGATAATTGTGTTTTCCTTAGAAAAGTGTGTATGTGTGAGGATGTGAGTCAGTGTGAAGCGCTGGGAGCCAAAGCATCACCATCTACACTAAATCATTAACGGACAAAATGGTATTTAGTAACATTTTTGTCCATGTTGTTCATTTGGTTAACTAAAAATGAGACAAAACGATGGTGAGACGGCACATAAACGTCATTAGACACGAACTGGTGACATAAACATGTGTTATTGATGACGCAAGAAGACTAAAATGCAGTTTGGACATAAAATCTTTACCAAAAACAGGGTGAGAATAATTTAATATGATAAAAAAACTAATAAGTACATTTGACACAAGACTATGACTAAATTAAAAACAAGAAGCTGACAAACTTTATTTTGTAATGTATTGTAAAAGGAAGGTTTTAAGAATAGGGCTGGAGTTATTGTCAAATAAAAAAATATGTTAGTCTACATCCCCATACTATCTGAGGCAGTTGGCCTACAGCAATTATTTTTCTACTAATATCATATATCTAGACATATATCTTTATAAAGAAAAAAAGTCCCAAATATATGGCTTCATTTAAAAGAAAAAAAGAAGGCTAATTATCTATTACAGCTAGTGATTGTAGTTTTTTAGGAAACAAACGCCAGTTCAAGTTGGATTAGTTTTTCAGCTGAACATTAATACACATTTGATATTCGAGTGAGTTTATACAGCAGCAGTGTGTATTTTTATGGTTCATTTAATGGAAGAAATTCATGTTTGTGTTGTTATTTTATTGAATTGTGTTGATAATACGTCTTTGTTGGTAAATGTCTTTAAGTTAGACTGAATTTTGCTTGTGTTTTGTGAACAATTCTGCCAGCACATTAAATCAACATTCATTTAAAGCAGATATACTCAAATTAAGATTTCCCTTGGTTATAGTGTGGTGATATACCTTATTCTCATTATTGGAATGTACAACAAGTGTGTTTCTTTTGAGATTGTTCATGTTTTAGGACTTAAATGTAGATCATGTTCTTTGCCATGAGTAAAACACTCAAAAAGAATCAGATCCTTTTGTTTCCTGGATGAATTACATATTAACGGTCCGTTTCTCTTGGAACTGTTTGGAGAGTTGTTTAAAGGTCATAACAAACGTCTACAGTTTGTATTTCTGGAAGAATCGCCACCAGCTGTCCCGAGTCTGATTCACAATACAAGACAGATGTGGAGCTCTTGCTAAAGCTAAAAACATACAATAAAACAACTATTATTACTGCAATATAATAAACTGCATCTGGGAACCAACCAAAGGATTACGCTGAAAGAAAATGTGACGCGGCAGTGACTGTTTTGTGACTGTGATTTTGGTCTTTGACTTCTTAAATCAATTCTCCTCGCAATAAATCAAAATCTGTCAAATATATTATTATATTTATGGCCCAATATCAGTGGGTGTCGTATCTCCGTGGGCGTTATAGACCCACACTGGCAGCAATTCCCAACCCAGCCCAAATTCTCCCGGGAGACGTGGAAAAACTCATTGAAAAACCAACGACGTAACCTCGGGAGATTCAGATCCTTTGCTCTTCCAGTAAGTATTACATCTGTTTCCTCACCCTGAAAGCCACTTTAACCACAAGGGCACAAAAGACACTCATTTTGGGACATTTTAATGTCATCTGTGGTCCGATTGGAACGTTAGTGACCTTTGTGACATGTCACCGAAGTGTCCAGAAACTGCCCAACAAATAATCTAAGTTTAATAAAGGAATAACCCGCTGTAGTTTGGACAGCGCGGTTGCTAAGCCTCCACATTTTACCCATCATGTGCCACACAGAGTTGACCCAAAGCAACAATATCTTCTGACCCGACTCTGCCCTTCCTCCTGCAGCCACAAATGGAAAACCCAGGCAGTGTGTGTGTGTGTGTGAGGTCTCCCACTCACTTTATTTATTAGCATCAATCAGGCCGAGAAGATAATTGTTTGTGTGATTTTGCATAGCCTGTGCGTAGCCTGTGCGTAGCCTGTGCGTCTCTGTGCATGTGTGTGTGTGTGGTAAAGCTGTGTGTGTTCTCACTATTGTGGTGGTGCGTTGATGGAAAACCTATCTAGTTTTCCTCTGTGTCACAGCCGCGGTCCCCCTAAAGGTTGAAATCAGAGGGGGAGGGTGCAGGGACAGAGAGAAAGACGCTTACACACACCAAGGGAAAGACGTAAAAGAAAAGAAGGACATTTTAATCATTTTTGGTAATCATTTCACTTTTTTCGTGCAGGTTGAGAGAGAGGGACTTGCAGAAGGAAGGGAAAACATTAACACACTGTCAGCTCTAATTGTGGGTGTGTCCAGAGCTATAAGTGCCTTCACTCTTACCTGTGGTACTTATATCCCTGCATGAGGCGAGCAGACACACACACCTGTCAGTCGACTCACCTGCACTCCAGAAGCTAAACTCTGCTCCACATCTCCAGGTAAGAAACACTGAGCTGCTTTTTACACCTGGAATGAAAATGAATGCATCATGTTGGTGGAATAGACCTTTAAATCATCTGTTTCTGTCTTGAAATAGTTGCTTTCCTATGGATTGTAATCTTTTTTTTTTATTTGAATTGAACATGGAAGGGGGGTCCATTCTTATTCTGCAGAACTCTTCCCTGTAAGTTAATAATTATAACAGTTCTACTGCATTCATGCACATTTTTATATTGCTCAAGTAAAGCTTATTTAATTATTTTTAAAATTAGCATAAGTTTTGCTGTGTTTAGAGGGTTTTATTAAGAAACTACTGACTACTCATCTGTCTTCTACTGTCATGGCAATAGGTGTTTTTGTAAAACCCAGTATTGTTTTTATCTAGATGCTGGACTATAAAGGTATTTTGTAAAGACAATGGATTATACTGTGTGTCTCCTTTTAGTCTGTGCTATTACTAGACAGTATTCTTCGTGACCATTTTAACTTAGCATGGAGATTTTTCTTACTTAAAAAAATAAAACTATTGAACTACATCCTATTGGCATTATTCAGTGTCCAGTTTATATAGAAGGGGTTTTAAGTACTTGACTTAGCAAAAAAAGCTGACTCCACTCATGTAACTTCATCTATAGATCAGCTATTTATAGTATTCAAAATAAAAATGTCACCTGCAGATTTTCGGTCTGCACCTTACATGAACTGAGGTGTTCAAATACTGTAATGTACATTGAAGAGAATTAAGAAGTCATATTTCTCCTTTAACTTTCCTAATATCTGTAATATTCAAATCTAGATCTAGAACATGATTTTGACAATGTTTTTGGTAGTGTGTTTACGATATCTTTAAGGATCTAAGAGTATTAATTCTTTGGGCTGTTTTGGTGATCTTGCTCTATATTGCAACCCACCTTCCTCAAAGACAAACCTACCCTTCAGGCGTGGAAACCCCACATAAGAGGAAAAAGCGGAGCATTTCCCCTGCCTCTCCAGCTGACACGGGGTTAATGAGCTCACACACACAGTCCTGACCCGTTAATTTGCCCGTACCACCGGCGTTAATGGCGTCCCCAGGGGTCCTTCCACCATCATAACGGAGGCAATTCCTCCCGTCGGTGGGAAGTGGGGCTGGAAAGAGCTGCCATTTTAGAGGGCAAGGGTCAGGATCACCAAATTCTCAGGAAAACATGACTTTATTGTTTACACACGTGTTAGAGTGTGTGTGTGAGGGGGGTGTGAGCATATATGCACACATACATGTTCCCATTCATGCTTATGTGGGTTAACAGGGAAAAGACTGATGCCTTACTCTATTTTAAACAAAGCTTTGTATTGTGATTATGCTACCGCTGCCGTTTGTGCAGCTATGTGTACGTTTGCACGAGTCAGAGCTGTGTACGTATACGTGTGTCAGCAGGTAGCTGTGAAGTGAGGCTGACACAAAAGATGAAGACTGTATTGTTTTTATTCACATTAGCTGTGACACACCGGCAGGCAGACGAGCAGGGTGGGAAATCACCCTGGTAGATAAGGGAGGGGGCTCTGGGCTTTGATTTGAGGGGAAAGTTCAGCAGGAGAAGATCACCTCAGGTTGAGGGAACTCAGGGTTTGAGAAAGCTGCGGCTCCTTTAGTTTATTCAGCTCATTAAACAGGATTAACTAAACTCACAATTTTAACTAAAGTGAAAAATGATTTGTGTGTCCACATCATGATTCAGATTTGCTCCTAAGTCCTACCTTTTCCCATTCTACAGTTTCATTTCATTTAACTGGTGTTCTTGTTCAGTTTGTTTGTAGTAAAAGTCTAAAGAGGATCAACTCTTGCTGGAAAAAAAATATTTTGTTTTGCTTGGAAACCTCTTAAAGACCATTAAATGTCAGATGTTCTATAAATCCTAAGGTCTTACCGTACATACTTTGCTTTTTTGTTTGGGTCCTCCAGGCTGCCGTCCAGATGTCGCTGTGCAAAACTTCACATTTCTGCATGCTGGTCCTTCCAGTGATGTCACTGCTGCTTTTCTTCTCTCCCATTGGTTGGAGCTACGATGGCCTCACCCCAGGATGTCACCTACATCGTAAGTAACCCACTGCATTTCAAGCCAAAACCGCATACATTTATTTGCACATTTTCCTTGAGTTTTTTTTTTGACTCCAACTCTGCGGCTTATACCAGTTTATTGCAATAAATATAACAGTGTTGTTATATTACCTACAGTCCAACACACGTACTTGATTCCCTCTACCCTTACTCCTCTCGCAGCCTTCAACGTGACCATCCGCAGTGACCGCCGCGGCACGTGTAAAGGCACCCACCTGGTCTACGCCTGTGTGGGCTACTGTGAGTCCAGCGCCTTCCCCTCCAGATACTCAGTGCTGGTGGCCTCCAACTTTACCCACAACATCACCTCCGCCTCACGATGCTGCACTATCAGCAAGGACGCTAAGGTAAAAAACGACCTTCCAAAACAAAACAAAGGCAATGTCAGTAACTCTACATTTTGGCAAATGTTTCATGTCTGGCTTTTCCCCCCTCAGGTCAAAGTTCGCCTGGACTGCCCTCGAGGTCGTCACCATGAAGAAATAGAGATCCTGACCGCAGAGGCGTGTCGATGCGACATGTGCCGCAAGTCCCGCTACTGAGACATCAAGACAATATGCTGCAATGTACCACAGGACCAAAAACGAATTTAATCAGTTAAGCCGTACAAACTTAAAAATGAATTAAATACAGGTGTTTCAGGGATACACCATCATTTTCCTATCTCTACTCTAAGTATTTTGAATGTTGAAGAAAATGAACTAAATCAACTAAATTACTGTCAATATTAATTTCCTTCATTCGTGTTCTTAAAGAATAAAAAGAAGGTGGATGGAAAATAGCCAGAAGATGAAGGGTCTATGCAGATCTCCCATGTCATCATTGACTACATTTAAGTATAGGCAGAGTAACCCCTGCTCACGATTATTCCCCAAGAACATTAAGATTTAAATGAGGGATTCACATTTTTTAAAGTCTAAAAGATTTCTGTGAGTGTGTTTTTGTGTGATGTGTACAATGTGATGTAAGGGAGGTTTTTCAAGAAAACTTGATTGATGCACATTTGTGTTAGAAGGCGATACAAACCATTCTGTCACTCCAGGATTATAACCAATCAAACCCCTAAAAAGACTGCCTTCACCTTATTTAACATGTTCAAATATGCCAAAATGAATAACAGCTTTACATTACAGTTAAGACAGTCAATCCATCTGCATAAAGGTTATATAAACAAATAGTTTCACCCATTGCATAACCACTAAACACAGACCAAAGAATGTACACATTTATTTATATTTATGAATTTGAAACTAAAGGACATTTTGTAAATAATATGTATTAATGAAACTAAAGAATGTTGGAAATGTCAATTTAATGAAAAGAATGCACTGTATAGTTTGCAATGAAATTGTATTTCAATAAATTTCTATTCTGCAACAGTAAAGTCATTATTGTGGACATTAGATTTTTCTTCTAACTTTCACAAATGTTTCCATAAATGAATGAGACATCACATTGACTTACATTCATTCCCTGGTGACTAACCCTTACCTTAATCATGGCAACTTCATGGTCCCCAACCTTGACCCTGTCCTTAAGCCAAGTCTTGGGCCTCACATTAAAGGTTATACTTTGTGGGGACTTGGATTTTGTCCCCACAATGGAGGAGCGTCCCCACAATGACAGTGGTCCCCAGTTGACCCCTATCCCAGTTTGTGTGTACAATGTATTTGTGTCTGTTTCAGTTTCAAGTAAACACATTAACCTGATTAACATATAAATATGTGAGTACAATATCAAATTAAATCATTGAAAAAATTGAAAAAGTATTTCAATCCATTTCTAATGTGCAACTGTTAAGTAATTATTGTGGACATTTGATTTTCATTCTCACTTTACACACACATGTGCACTTGTGTACATCATCTAATGAGACATAAATTAGTTCCCTGGTTTTGATTAAACAATATCAATTTAAATAATGAAGATATTGAAAGATATTGCCTTAAAACTTATTTTTTTACTTTTATTTAACAAACATCATAGTGTATTTAGGGGATTAGGGGATCAACGTTATTTAGAATAGACTCGAAGATTCCCGTACATGTAACAGAAAATGTAGTTTTCCCCAAATATTCCCGCCCTTCTCCATCCCCGTTAATACATTATTTTTAACCTCCAATTTTGCTTACATCAAAATAAAAAAACTGATATTTTGAGATATAATGCTTTCTCTGGTATTTTCTTCTTTCATAAATACAGACATATAATCGTAAACATACACATCGTATACAGAAAGACACACTTTTAGGTGTCAAGAATCACACTTTTTACAATGTCTTATTTTCATAATTTTATTCAGGTTCATTCATTTGAGTAAAACTGATAATAACATGGTTAGCTGACGCAGCATCCTGCCCCTCAGAAGGTCTCACACTCTGCGTCCTGCGTGGAGCAGATGGCGCAGTGGCAGTGCAGAGCCATGGGGTAATGGTAGAGGGGGGAGACGTTGGGCTGGCACCCTGGCAGGCGGGCCGTCATCTGGCGGGTCCGATTGTATGTACACACTCGGTGGTGACGGTGGATGTAGGGAGGATCCAGTATAGGTTTCTGCAGGGTTCACACACACACAGGTGGCTACTTTGCTCTCCATCAACTGTTTTACTAGACATTGCTGTCCCATGCACTAATAATGTCAGTAAATGCAACATGTTTCTGAGATGTCAACCAAATCTGACCAACAGATTAAAAAGGCTAGGCTAGAGATACATGTGCAAAGGAAAGAACACATAATTGGACAAACACTTTAAAGATCACAAAAGACTTGGATATAAACAGGTTTTGAGATATGGGTGAATTTCTTTGGATGGGATTTATGATAATTTGTGTATGCACAGCTGCATGTACACAGGAATATTAATGGAATATTAAATTCCAATAGCCATGTTAACAGCTTTTAGGAATATGATCTTTTTCAGCATAATCTTTGAATCCCTCTGTGCGTGTATACATAATGACTGGAGTTAAGATTTATTGTCATCAGGAGCCTCCCTCTGCTGAGGAGGACAATGAAATGCTGTTGAATGTCCTGGAAAAGTAAGTACATTTACATCATGATTTTAAACTCTAATATTGACCTTTGCCATGTGACTGAGGCAGCTCGAGTCAGCTCTTTCTCCTCTAATGACTTTGAATCGGACTGAGTTCCCCTAAGATCGTTTTTTAAATTAACTCAGAGGTTACATTTGAATCCCTGCAAAAGAGAACAAGTTCATAAAAGGTTCAGTACCCTCCTTAACTGCTCGGAGGGATTTTAATACTTCTTACGACAATGACATATGGGTCATAGACGAGAATTAGTCATGGGCCTTCTTATGGTTTGGGTTGAGTCATTCGATTTCTTAAGATTCCAGTATGCTATTTCAACAATAGCAGCGGAAAAAGACTTTGGTTTAATGTGACTTTTGTTCTTTCACTTTGTGTGTGTGTGTGTGTGTGTGTGTGTGTGTGTGTGTGTGTGTGTGTGTGTGTGTGTGTGTGTGTGTGTGTGTGTGTGTGTGTGTGCGTGCGTGTGCGTGTGCGTGTGCGTGTGTGTGTGTGTGTATGTGTGTGTGTGTGTAAATGTTACCTCCCAGGTTTGACAGCGCCCCCAGCAGGCATCTGTGGTGATACGCAGCCCCTTGCAGCCCGGCTTCTGGGCCACGAACGAGAACTCTCGCACGGCGCAACCTCGGAAGCCATGAAGCGGTGTCGTCACGGCAACGCACACCTCTGATGCCACGGCAACAACGAGGACGAGGAAAAAGACGGACAGGGGATGGAGATACATGCTGGGGATGATGAATGGAGAAAGAAACAATTAAAAAAAAAACAAAGTAACTTTATCATATATCAATATTTTTGACCAGCTACAGGTGACGTCATGCACCAGTTCAAGGTATGACATTTATGTTGTCATATTAACAGAATAAAATATTCAGTTTGGCCTCTTAAATGAAAAAATAATGAATTGCTGGAGGTGTTACTGCCAATATTTTACATCTATAAAGAAAGATGATCCACAAAGCTGAATTTCAGAGCAATGTTTTGACTTTCAGTATGACTCTCAACTCCCTCTAGTGTTTATTATGCTAACTGTAGTCAATGGTACTAGTGACCTATACTAAAAGTGTAATTCCCATTTTTATCCAAACTAAAAATAGAGTAAAACATTTCTAATTATACTACAAATGACAAATCGGGAGTGTAGTTACTTAACACATAAAAAGTTGTTTTCTTTTCTTGTTTCAATCATTTCTTTAATACTGGAGACATCTGCTTAATTACTCTTCAAGCTAACCACTTAAAGTGCGCTGTAAACCAACTGGAATCAACTCAACTCAGCCAGACTGCAGACTGCCCAACTTGAATGAAGAAATATTACACTGAAATAAAAATACTTTCTGCATGATGTGGATACTTTTATAGGCAATGAGACACCCCACTGTGAGTACAATGACTCCACATAGGCTACGAAAAGTGCACTGTGTAACATAGCCTGGTAACATCATTATGTACACTTTCTGTCCTTTCAGCATTTTTTGAGAATCTTGAATGAATTATTAAAACATGAATGAACCCCTACATTACTTATTGAATGAAGAAAAAAACACTTCTCACCTTTTCAGCTGCAGATCTTGCAGAGATTGGAGCTGCTGGACTGCGGTGTCTCTCTGTCCGGACAACAAGCAGTGAATGGAACCAATCTGTCCTTGTTGTTGTTTTTAGAAGGCCATTAGGGCGGACGGACACTCTGACATCATAGCAATTACAATGAAATACCATTAGAGACCCCAAGCCAGAAATAATGGAGACTCCCTGGAAAATCCTGATGCTTGTCTATGTTTTCTTAACCTCAGCCTGTATCTCTCTGTGTGACTGTGAGCAGTTCCAACTTTGGGCTACGCTCAGTGATGTGAGGACTTTCAGAACTCAACCTGACACTTACTGTGACAAAGGATTGGTAACATGGGTACATAGGACGGGACTTTTTAAACTCTTACCGGGTGATTTCAAACTTTTGACACCATGTAATTAGACCAAAAGGCTTTAAAAACTCCTGTCAACTCCAAAGTTAAGGGTTTAAACCAGATAATATGAACTAATTTGACTAATTGTCTCCACTTCTGTCACATGGACATCTTCTCAAAGTTGCATACAAAACAATTTTGCATGTGTAAGCCCCATAAAAAAAAAATATATGATATACTTAAGATGACTTTGATTTTGCAAACAATGTTGCTTTAGACTTTTGGGCATGTTTTTCTGCAGTTAGACAGCCATTGACTTCCATTCACTCTTCCATGTTAGGTAGCTCTTCATGCAACAGCTATTTGGCAGATTTGATGTTAACTGTGGCACAAATAAGTTATTTAAAATAACACAACTTAACTAAGTTTAAATTCTACTAATAGATTCTGACTCAAAATGGAAATCAATTGAAATCAATGGTCTCCTGGAAAACTGTCAAAAGTTTTACAGATATTCAGCTTATAAAGTTGGTAAGATTTGTACATTAGTCAACAGTTCATAATGTACATATTCAGCAGGCAGAAAGCTACATTAGCAATTTCTCCTTTTAGCTCTGTTTTGGTCTCCACCCACTCCGGAGGGAAATATATGGCTATTAAGCTATTCCAGTAGCTAAGTGCTAACTTTACCTGTTGTTTGATGCTAGGTTATAAAAACATGCTAAAAGAGGCAAAAAAAAGTTCTTAATGCACATTGTACCTGTTGATCAAAACATACATTTAAGGAAGTGGAATTCATATTATCCAATAACAATTCATGAATGTTAGTTAAGAGACAAAGACACAAAAAACAGCAGACTCCCAGAGTGTTTTCTCAAAGTGAAGTTTCATTTTTAGCACATAGTTTTTTTTCTCCATTCTACACCCCCCTGTAATGTTACGTACAGTAGTAAGCCTCTCTACATTCAACCCCCCCACCGCTTTGTTGGTCCCCAAAATATACATCTTCTTCTGCATCGTCTTCATCATCTTCTCTAAGGTTTTTCTTCAACACAACAAACACAGACCATTGGGCAGACAGTGCAAATCTAGAAATTCAGTGAAGTTGCTACGTAATGCAGTTGTAGGTTTTGGTAACATTATATTCTCATTCTGTTACTGTTGCTCTGACTTATTGCCATTCTATCGTGTCTAACTCTACGTCTTTTCTCTCCTCTGTCTTTCTCCACCTGTTTTTTTTTTTTCATCTACAGTATACCGGCTGCTTTCATTGAATCCGTTCACACCTCCCCTTTGATTTAAAACCTTTTGTTTCAATTTGGCCTCAGAGGGGATATGTGACAGAGAATGAAACCAGCGTCCGATGTCTGTGCGGCGATACCCGAGCTCTCTTCTCATACTTTCCATTTCTGGAGCGGTTCTAGAATTTACGGCAGGTTTCTAGAAGTACAGTAGGAATATGACTGTTGTTTGATATGAGTTGGGATTGTAGAAGAGCGGGAGCGTGGGGTTCCGTTTTCCCCGAGTCAGCTGACCGACTGACAATAACAATCAAGAGGGTTTGTGAGGAAGCTAGCCAAAACTAAAATCATAGAGTAAGCTGAGTTTTATGACAGTGAGGTCAAGTTTTGTCTCTTTTCAGTTGTGTTTTTTGCCTGAATCAAAACAACGTTTGAAATCCTACAAAAGGGGGCCTTGGTGATGTTTGCAGGTGCAGGCTGCTGTTTCACCTAATGCAGCATTGTATTTTCTGTGAAAGCCATGGAACACGTCATGTGCAGAAACAGGAAAGAAATAGGCTTATGTTAATGGTTCCTACGTTTTGGGTCCTTCAATAAATCATTTAATTTTGGGATGTTCCTTAAATTAAAGCTAATTTGAAATGTTGAAGTTGAGCACTCAATTGGAACAAACACTTGATTTTTTTGAATTTTAATAAGGGAGACCTCTCAAGGCTTCTGGAAAAATCATGAAAAAAAACAAAAACTCTTTGGTTGATCTCTGTCCACAAACAGGCCTAGGAGTTTTGTTTGTTTGAATGGGTCACAAGCCAGATGGTTGGGAAAAAATAGTACATGTGAATTAATGATGATTCCGGTTTCAATTTCAAGCTTTTTCTGGAACTCTTAATTGTATGATATGTGGCAAGCTGCAGAAAGTTACACCATTTTAGTGTCAAACTACTGAATCCAAGTTCACCAAATTAATTTTCATGCACACATTTGAAAATATGGCTGCCAAATGTGTTAGACTTGAAGTGATATGCAAAGCAGCAGTTTTAACATTTGAAAGCAATACGTTTTTTTTTTTCAACAAATAGAATAGAATAGGTGATTGCAGCTTGAAAGGAACACAGTTGGCCAAACTCAGACTTAAAGTGTTCAGAAAAAACCTTGAAAATTGCTTTAAATGCTAAATCAGTCGTGTACAGCTCAATAAAACTTGCCAAATGGATTTCAAAACCTTGTTGACTCAGGCATGATTGGATGTGAGAGTTTAAAAAAAAATCTGCTGGTTCGAAGGGTTTTTGAATGTTTGGTTATGAAGCAGCCGACAGGTAGCTCTGCGTCTCAAGCGTCAAAAAAACAATCAATCGATTTGTTTCACGATACATTCAGATTCAAACCCTGTCCCTCAGGAAGGAGAGAAGGAGAGAGAGAGAAAAAGAGAGAACAGTTTTTCTCTTGTTCTCGATCGCTCTGTCTACACTCGTCTCCTGCTCACTGATTCACTCGGACACACACACACACACACACACACACACACACACACACACACACACACACACACACACACAACCTGACCATCATCTTCAAAATAGTTACATTTCCTGATCAAATTGATAATAAATAGCATCAGTATCAGAATTCCACAAAATGAACAAGATCATACAAAAACAAAGAGAAAAAAACAACGTAATTACAAAGCAAAGATTCTTTAAATAAATGTACACAGAAAGTACCTTTAAGACAATGTGAATATCAAGGACGCAACAGGAGTAAAAACAAGAGTGGGGGGTAAACATTTGAGAGTGACACCCACTTCATGTTTAACCCCCTAAAAAAACACAAATTATTCTGAAAGAATGAAAATATTGCTAAAATATTTTTTTTCAGTTTTTTCCCCTTTCTATTCACCGCGTCACTTTTTCATCATGATCAGACAAGAATAAACTGATTCTTCTCGGTACACACCAAGACGCCACCGAGCAGCGTCAGGTCTCTGCCTAAAGGAACAGACGCTCCGGCTCGGAAATCAAACTGGATGTGTGTTTTTCTTTTTAGTCTGAAACACTTGTGGTGCGCTTCATTTGTACCCCGGTAACCTCTGTGTGGGGTGGGGTTTGCTATTATGCATGGATACATTTTTGGTTAGAAATTGCGGGGTTAAAAACTTCAACTTTGCGATAACTATGGAAGCAAATTAGTACATTGTAAACAAAAAAAGAGAATTGTGTGCTGCAAATTTAAAATAAAAGGTACCCTGTGGAGTTGTTTTGTTTTTATTAAGCGGGCCTGTTATGTTTCTATTGCGCACAAGGGGCAATGTGATTCCCATCAAGCTACCAGTTACATGCTATTCCATTGTTTGTGTGCAAAAATGTGCAAAGACAGTTAGCAGTGTGCTGCTCAATAAGGGAAGAAGAAAAATGCTAGCAGGTAAACATGGATGTAAACGATGAAAGAGTTAAAATATCTAAAAATCAAGTGTTTTATAAGGAGGTCATCACATTTTGTATATGTGTTTTGTTGAGCAACACTAGATCTAAAAACAACTTTGTTTACAAGAAAGCTCCACTCGGCAGCCTAACGCAAAATTATCTCTAAATATGGAATGTTTTTGGATTTGTTACGATACCCCTTTTAAATTAAGCCCGCCGCACCACAAACATCCCTATTTTCAAAGTAAAAGAAAAACAGCCACCACCAGTCCAATTCATCCCCCTACTCTTTAAGGTCTGTTAAAGGGGAACTCGGCTGAATTCCAGCACCCACCATGATGGCCGCGTACAGCTAACGTGTGAACCCAGAATTCCAGCCGGCCTTCCCCTCTATGGTATCTGCTACACTAGTGTTTCTCCCATAATACACTACAGAAATATCCAGAGACATATGTATATATATAAAAACATTATCATCATCATCATCATCATCATCATCATCATCATCATCAGTAGTACTTAGAGTAGAGTAGAGTAGTAGTAGTAGTAGAGTAACAAGTAAGAAGAAGGAACAGTATTGTACTTTATATCATCATCATCATCATCTTCATCAGAGACTTTAGGCCCGACCAACCCGGCAGAACCAGCTGTGTGTGTGTGTGTGTGTGTGTGTGTGTGTGTGTGTGTGTGTGTGTGTGTGTGTGTGTGTGTGTGTGTGTGTGTGTGTATGTTTGGGGGTGTGTGGAACAAAAATTGGATGCAATAATTTGATGCATTTTTTTTGTTTGATACATTTTCTCTCTGCTCTGTCTAGTCATATTTACAGTAAATATGTACCTGCGACTATGTGTGTGTTTCTGGTCTGTGCAGCAACAGTTTCGGGACATTTGTGTGAAATTGCTTCCTTTGTTTTATTGATGTATTGTGCTGTCCACGCATGAAATAAGCATCTCTGAGCAAAAGATAAATACGCGGCCACAGTACAGACTCGGTTGGTTAAATATCAAGACAAGTTAGACACGTTAAACTTGGTAAGTGTTGCACCAAAAGAGAAATTTCATCTCTTATTTTGAGGCTGATTTTAAGCAGGCCAGCTACCAATGTTTGGATACTGACCTGCAGTTAGGAACCAGCCGCTGATTAAAATGACAGTCTGCACTTTTGGGCAATATTCATCTTCTGATCTGCGACATGATGTGTGTACAGCAAAAAGTTAACCACTTTCACACAACTCTGTCAGAAAAGAAAGGTGCAGCCTTTACCTCGGATCACTGAGCTTGTGCGCTTTTTCACAAAAAGCCACGCCCTCCATGATACAAGATAAAAAGAGCTGTGGATTTGTTTTGTACCTTTTCTCTCCCAACACTTTTCACCATCAACCTTGTGTCGTCTCCCTGTCCCCTAACCCCGTGCTATCCATTCTCCGTGGAGCAGCACCTAGGTGGCGCTCTCCCCGGCTCCAGAGAAAGAGGAGGCCCCGCTGGGCTTGGGCTCGGGCTGGTCGGAGTGAGCCGTCTGCGGGGACGAGGGGCTCGGCGGGTCCCCTCTCTCGCCTCGCTCCTGGAGGTTGCGCTGGTTCCTGGCGGCCTCGGTGAGCATCTGCATCCGGCGGTCCTGGTGCTCCTCCAGACCCCGCCAGAGATCGGCACGCTCCCGCTCCCTCTTCATCTCTCTGGAGAGGCAGGGGGGGAAGAAGAGGAAAAGGAAAAGGATGAAGAGAAAGAAAAGGTGGAGAAGCCGCATATCTGAAACCCCTGAAGATGTGTTGCTCTGTGTTGGAGAAACATTCACACTTTCCTCTTAAATGTCCTTTATTGTAATTGTATTATACAGACCACCTACTCCAAAGTCTATGTGCACTTAATTTCAATCTTAAAAGACAGAACATGTGGAAAAAATATCAAAATGTCCTCCAACTTTTTTGTATCTGGTTTTCACAAATAAGGCAGACATACAGTATATAATCTAATAACAACCATGTCAGATAATAATCTCCTTTTAGTTGCAAGAAAGTTGCAAGGAAATAAAGACTGTAAGCAATTGATGAATACATGGGAACTTCAAAAAGTAAGTTAAGTTATTGAAATGAAGCATGTTCCAATATACTTAAGTAATTCCCCAGGAGCAACATAAAAACCCCTGGCTGAATAACATCCTTTAAATGAAGACAATAGATGCAGCCTTGACAAAATCTATTGAAACAGCTTTGGCAATTGATGGGTTAATATATAAGGGTCGTATAAAAAGTGCAATTTAGGTAGAAGTCTGTCAAATATAGGAAAAGTTAATACAAATGGTATCTGCACAGCTTAATTACTTAAATAACCTTTACAGCTGTTAGTAAGCGTATTCATTTAGCATTTTTAAATAGAACCAGGCTAAAGGTATCTTGTGGCCGTCTCTATGCTGCAGTTAACCAGGCCATGACACCGACTCCGCGCTGAACTCACACACTTCAATAGAACCCATTATATTCCCTTTAAAACCCAGTGATGAATGAGTGGAATCATGATGTGATTCATGTTGAAAAGATGACCTAAGTGATAAATACTTACGCTGTGAAATATAATGTGATGGATAATGGAAGAAATACCATTTAAAACATGACTCAGGACCTCTGATCTTCCTGTCGTTGTCACTGTACTATCCAGTGACACACGCACACACACACACACACACACACACACACACACACACACACACACACACACACACACACACACTCACTTCTGTTTCTCCACTTTGTAGGAGGCAGTGAGGTCATCAAACAACTTGCTGTTCATCTCCATGAAGGTCTTCAGCACGTTGTAGATCAGAGACACGATGGTCCTGAAAAAAGAAGACATCATGATGAATCTCAGCCCCATTGCATTATGGGTCAGGAGTTAGAGGTTTGCAAGTGTGAGATTTACAGAGAGGCCAACATGTGTTTCATGGAATATGACCTGGGCATCACTCATATGTCCTTTGTAGTTTATCAGCTCTGATGCTAACGTGTTTAGCATGTACTTAATACGTATGATGGGAGGATTGTACATACTATGTGTCACTGCTGGAAAGTTAGTGTTGCTAAGTGATCTTCTTACATAATAGGAGTGGCGCACTGAGACACTACGGGAACATTTTTTTTATCACGGTCAATTATGAAGTTTTGGGCTATTTTGCTTCAATAACATGTTTTCTCTCAGACTTGTTGAAAGAAGACATCCAAAAGGCAAATGTGAAATTGAAAATGAGTCAACAATCAACCGGGAAAGTTTCATGGTGATATCTATTAGACTTGCGAATTATAAAATACACCCTTTTAAAAGCAGTTTTCTCAAAAAAAATTCTTATGTTCCAAGCCAGAAATCTCTTATTCAGTGGCTCTTACACACCAAACTTTTCCTATATTAATCTGCACTCTGATGGTTCTTATATAAGGGTTTGTTTATATATCGTTCAGAGACTGATTTTAAGAACCTTTTTGTTGTTTAAGAAAAGCCGAAACCTACGGAGCCCCTAAAGGGACATGAAAAAAAAAAAAAAAAACAGAGAGAAAAAAAAAAGTCAGGATAACGGGTA